ATATATAAAAAAAAAAACTTAAATATAATATAAATATAAAATAAAATTTAAATAAAATTATAAACGTTTATTCGAGTTTGAACATACAAATATTATAATTTAATATAAAAAGAGAATAAATTTATATATAAATATTAATTTTTTTTGGTATTCGGTTTATAGTAAATTTTATATTTCCTTAATTTATAATAAGAGGGAAAAAGTGTTGACACTTTATATAGACAATTACGTTATATAATAATTATATATACATTAAATGATCTTATACGTTTTTATATATGTTTTAAAATATAACTACTTCATGTTAGATAATCCTAAAGCATACATGGATATTGTGATTTTTATAATATATTCAATATATATTTTAGGGAAATTATGATATGTAATTATCATGTGAGTAATAAATATCCTATTATCATCAGAAGATTATAGTGATTTTTTATTTATTTTGTTCTATTTATATGCTATGCATAGGAAAAAAATATAGTATTTCATGTGACATTTGTAATTTACACGCTGTGCTTTTATTTAAAATAGTTAATAATTTAAATAAAGTAAATTTTATTGAACGTTCTATATATATGACGTTAAATTTAAGTCACCATTCTTGCGAAAAATAGGAGAAAAGTATAATTCTAGAATTACAAGTATACAATGAGTTCAATTTGAAAAATATTAAATATAAACCTGATTTTATAGCATAATTTATATAATCGTACTCTCTATATTTATATAAAGAGTTATCACAATTTTTATGATATTAATATTTCATAAAAATTGTAAAATAAAATTTATATACATTATAGCATGTACTGAATTATTGAATTGCATTTTGATTAAATAATGTTTTTAATAAGTAAATATTTCATTATTATTTAATTATCTTATACTTATTATGTTTTAATATCTGTATAACAACATTTTTGTTACATATATAATGATATTTAAAATAATCTCAAAATTCATAGTCGAGCAAAATGTTATAATACACTTGTCAGTCATCATGAATTATATTTATTGAATTAATGCAATTATATTATTTATATTATGTGACAATATTTTGAAATTTACAATTAATATTCATAAGAAACAATTTTTTTTTAACTTATAATTCACTGTGATTCTATCCCAACAAATGTACTAATATATATATATTTATTATGTAGTATAATCATTGGCGTCTATATTCAATTTTTTATATATTGTGAATAACATTACACACATATAAGACAATGAAAAAACATTTATCAATAAACAATTTGAACAATTGTATATTCCACATATTGGATGAATTAATTTAGACATTTAGGTATTAATATCATCAAATGTGAAGTATTTACATTTCATTTGACATATAAGAAAATGATTTAATTTAATAATAACAATGAATGAAAAATAATATAAATATGACTCAATATTTTATACATATGATAATGGTTTAAGACTCTTAAATATAAAAATTGTAAATACTATTATCAGGTTATTATACAATTTAGAAAAAATAAATATTATTATAGTAGATTATTTATTTTTAATTGGGACAATATTGACTCCTTAAATTATTCTTACTTTTTTGTTGTAACAATATTAAGCTTTCTTAACATATATTCTGAATTTTCCACGAGCGTTCTTTACTTTTACAGTATACATCAGGATACTTTTTTTTCGTTATGTATCATTAAAAACTGTTATTATGAAAATTTTTCTGAAATATATATATTTATGGCAATATTAAAAATTATATTTACAGTATCAAGCTATATTATTCTTAAAAATTATTTTCTGAAAGGTAATGAATATTAAATCTTTCGTTTTCTGAAGAACGTGGAAATTCATCATAATTTCCATAAGGGTGTGTATTTTTAGTATACTTCCATATTAAAAATTTCATATTGCATTTATTATATAAAAATTTCTGGATTTTACCGAACTATTTATAAAAGGTGTATTAAAAGAAAATGTAAAAATATAAATGTTTTTAATTTTATTATGTTTATATTATTTTATACTTTTCTTAAAAAACATAAATAATATTATAAAATAAGTTTTATATTACATTCATTAGAAAAATAAATGTAAAAAGCACTGTTATGAATAGTAGGAAGCAAAAAGTAAAAACATATTTCATTGAAATAAATGAAGTGGTAAGATTTCTTGGAATTAATGCATGTATTTCTGTATGTAATGCTTCTATATCCAATGAAGTCCTCTGTAATTTTTTTGATAATTTACATTCAGATTGAGCATAATTCAATTTACAAAAATTATCATGTGGTGAACCAGGAGATGTACTTTTTATGTAATTAAAGAGTGTTGTCATATCTTTTTCCCATAATACCATATCAACATTTGTTAAATCATTTTTTTTTTTGTTTATCCATGCAATAAAACAAGCACATACATTGTCATTGTATTCGTCTACCTTATATGAATTATTATAAATATATGAATAAAATTTTTTAAATTCATGACTAACATTCAGGTCCATATGACTGTAGTATGAACAACCAAATGTTCCACAATTCATATTAGCTACCTCGGCATCCAATTTTCTAAAAAGCTGCAGTTTACATTGTTCATTATTATCATTACATGGTTCCTAAAGGAGAATGTTAAAATGAAGAAATATTATGAAAATATAGTATTCAAAAAAGTTGTTAGCTCTCAAAGAAAATATTCAAAATAATTATAATTGATTTACATATATAATTGAAAAAAGGAATATGGTTTATAAATTTAATTATATTTATTATATATATAATTGTAAAAAAACTAATAATTATTGTAGTTTACACGCACATTAATTATGTTTAGTATTTTATCTACAAATTCCATTATTTATTTTATAAATATTAGCATAATATTATTATATATTATAATTTATTATGATAAACGTAATATATATATAAACACTCGATTTAGTTAAAGATAAATATATATATACTAATAACACGGTTATGTTCATATATTATCAATGAAATGAGTTATATAAAAATTTTACTTATCAATTAAGTAAAGTTATTCAGTAATAACTGTATATATATTAATATATTATATATTTTCACATAATATATAAGTATTTAATAAAACTGATAAAATTCTTGTCTTAATGTAACAAGCATAACACATGTTGAACTCATTATATATTATTCATTCATAATTATTGGATAAGATGTTGTATTTCATTTTTTTATAAATTATATTTATTTAATTTTCTTTTTCCTCAAAATTAAATAAAAGCATATATAATATCTATATCAAGAAAATATAAGTGTAATTTAAAATAAATATAATATATACTATAATATATTGAACAAACAAACAAAAAAATTGATATGTTAAATATATTTATTCTATTCACACTTATATTATTATATTTTTAAATACTGTATTAATTATTTATTACATATTTTAAGCTGTATATTTAAAATTGAAAATGTATTATTTAATCATACGTTTTAAGAAAATACTTGAAGGAAATGTATTTTTAAATATAAATTATAAAAAATTAAAAATAATTTTAAATAAATCAGGATTTTCATATTACGTATATTAATTATAATTTAAAATTTATGATTAACCTATTTAACACAATTATTACTTTTATCAGTAAGTTATCTATGAAGAAATTAAAACATAGCTTCATAATGAATGATGTAATTTTTCATACTTTAACTTTTATTTACAAAAACAACATATTAAATATTGTTTTTTTCCTCTTCACATAAATTTATTGTAATGAAAATTCATAAATAATTATCTACAGTTTCACATTAATTTATTATAACATAATTGAATTTATGTATATCTAAATATTTTTATACATTATGTTTTATAACTACGATGACACAATTAAATTTAGATATATAATATAAATAATATAATATATTATTTTATGCCGTTTTATTTATATAGAAATATACTTCATATTGTGTAATGAAAAAATAAAAATATTGATATTATTTTGTTAAACAAAAAAAAAAATTATAATAATGGTAAAATTTTCAAATTGTTTATGAATATTAATTACTTTTTTCAATTTTTCTTTCTTTTTATATAAAATAATAGCATGTAAAATAAAACATTATCTGTTTAAATATATAAATGCAAAAAAAAATGAAGTTGTATGTAATTTTTAATTATAGTTTTATACAAATTTCTAAGGGAATTGTATTCATATGTATATTCTTATAAAAAATAAAAGTCTCAGAAATAATATGTAAAACATATAGCTATTTATTGTTATTATAACTGTTAAATTTTTATTACACATCAAGTTATAATTATAAAAAAACTATAGAAAAATTTAATTATATTATTATACAGATATACAGTTTCTTACATAGGTTCATCATGTTAATAATTATACAATACATTTCTTGTAATTGTTATAAAACCATATATAATAATGTACTACATATAAAAATTATTAATATAATTTAATATTCAATAAATATTCAAGATTATTTTATTACTTATGCAGGGTATTCAATGTTGGATGACTGATTCGCCATATATTTTATAAATGTCTAAGGGAATTAGTGGGGTTATTCCTGTTCTTTTCAAAACATTAAATATATTAACATATAATATGAAATAATAGAAATAATTTTCATTTTATTTTATGTGTTACTAATAAAGGATTGTTCATATAGAAATATATATTTTTCTAATATATATTACATATGTGACGCACACAAAATTTTTTTTTAAACATATTTATACTTTTGTTACCCAATATAAAATATTTCAATAATCAGACATGTAAAAAAAATTCAAATTATCTATAATAGTAATTATAATGAATCTAATAAATTGAATAATATTTTTTTTTAGTTAAGAAATTATAAAAAACAAAATAATGTAAAAAAAAATTTTGTAAAACATATCATATTATAATATATATTATATTTAAGTAAATAACTAAATGTAATAAATTTCATAATGAGAAAATATTATTTCTGTCATTTTTTAATTATTTTTCCATTCCTTCATATTTACATTTATATTCCATTTCTATACACAATTATGTATTATTTTATGAATTAAAAATAATTCATCATATTATATTCAATATATAGATTTTTATTCTTAAAACATTCTAAATGCTTTTCATACTATTTATATTACGGTTTTTAGAATTTACAAACTATTTTTATATTTTAATGATTTTTATATATTTTCCTTATGAATAAAATTATAAAATATTTATCTATACAAATTCATAATAACTACTTATTTAGAAATATAATTTTATGTGTATATTTAATTAAATATAATAAATATATATATTGATAACATAAAAATTGTACTACAATTTTTAATAAATATAAACGTGATTATCCACATCATAATATAGTTATATATATATTCTGTAAATACAGTATACATATAATATTTTATTTTACCATTGTAATATACATATAAAAGTAGTGTGAAAAAATTTATAGAAACCATCTGATTATTACATGCTCTTCTAATATTATCAATAACGCATTAAATTTTATATTATAAAGAATTAATCATTATAATAATGCCTCAATCAATAAAAAAATTCTAATATATGTAAAGATTAAAGTAATATATATATATGCAAGCTATAGATAAAAAATATATTCTTTATTACTTTATTTGTTCTTATCATAGTAAATTGTAAAAACTCATAGGATATACATGACATTCTTATTCTATTAATTCTAATTGTCTCAAATTAATATAAATTGATGATGAAATATCAAATTACAGTATACAAATATCCTTTGTATACTTATAAATATATAATGAATTTTTATGTTTAGAATAAAGTTTAAAACATTATGTGTGTTATCCCTTCATTTTTGCGCACTTGTATATACATAAGCTATTTTAATTTTTATTTTCGTATAATAATATTTCTAAATTAATATAATTTTAAAAAAAAATGTAAATGGAATTTAAGCATATAAATAACATTTTAATATACGGAAATATATATTTACATACTAGAAGCGCATGACATAAATATAAATATATTTAGGTATGTATAATATATATAAATAGGGAAAAATAATATAAGATGTGACATAAAAATATAATTTTATCAAGGAAATATATTTTAACGAAGTCAAAAACAAGTAAGAAAAATTAAAAAGTTAAATCTTAATAAAATATAAAAATACTATAAATAATTTACATGGAATACATGTACATTATTCTATACATACTTATTATATTTTATTTTATATCATTAGTACCTTTTATCGTGTGTTTTTAATAAAAACATTTCAAGAATATCTAGTGTATTAGTGTGAAATCTTATATTAATATATTTTAAAAATATTTTCCTATATACCTATATATGTTTAATTAATGTATTTTTACAATATATTTTTTTTTAATTATAAATTATTATTATTATAGTACAATAAATTTGAAGAGATTAAATATGATAAAGAGAGTTATTATTGTTATACTTGATATATACCTTGGAACATTTTTATACATACAGATATAACTGCATAGACCATTATATAAGATGTAGAGGAAGCAACCAACTTATACGGAGTATTAGTAATATTATCTTATTTTTTGTCTACATGTCTATAGTTAAACATGAGCATGTAATTTGATATTTACAGTGCAAAGATAAAAAATGTTTTTAAAGTATATAATGTCTATATAACATATATATATTCAAATTTTTTTTATTTGCTTAATTTAATAAAATAATTAAAATATTATTATAGTTAACAAAATTAATATATAAAAAAATGATACATATTTATATTTTGCTAAATTAAAGAATATGCAACCATTCCTTAAATGCAAGTATTTTATTATAAAATTTATATCTTATTTATTCTTAAAATTTTTTTTGTGTTTTATGTTTTAATATTGAGGAGTAGTATCTATATTTTTTTTTTTTTTAGTTTACACTATATTTTTAAACATGATTAATATTTATTATTGAAACTTATTTTATCTATATTTATGTCCGAATATTTACATTTAAGATTGATCAAATAAATTATAGTGTTTAATGTAACATTATAATCAATTAAAAATTATTATTTTATATGAATACAAATATAACCTTTATAATTTCTGTCTTACAAAATTGAATATTTCCTTTCAGTAGAGTTGACTTACTTCAATTTATATTGTTTTCATTATAATATAATAAATAGTTTTATCAATTAATTATATAATATGTATGCACTGTTAATATATCTAATATTTATTATGTATTATAACAAGAAATATAACATTTTTATAAGGTAATGTAGGGGGGAGTATAGTATATTATTAACTTAAAAGGTTATACATTTTTCTTCTTTAAGGTTGTATTATTATATAATGAATTTACATTTAACCTTTCATATATATTTTTCTTTCCTGTTTTAACTGCTTCCTTTTATATTATATATTAATGTTAGTACACTTGATTTTAAAAAAATAGTACACTAATTCACATATTTCTAATTTTAATATTCTTTTTTTATTTTTGTGCCTTCCCTTATAATTTTAGTTACATTTAACGTTATACGCCTTTTTAACACATTAAATTGTGTTAGTTATTATTTTAAAAATTGATAAGATCAAAAAAATATAGTAAAAAGTGAATATTAAAACGATAATAAATAAGAAAATATGTTTAATTTACTATATCATATAAAAAATGCAACTAATTACTTCTATTTCATGAAAACATTATAGAATTAAGAAAAAAATGGGATAATGTGTTCATTTATTTAAAAATTCTCATATCCTCATTCTATTGTGTGTATAATTATTACAATCCTTAGAATAATTACTATCTCAGGTAATATATTTTTTAATGTTTTATTTTGATGAGTAACACTTAATACATACTAATATAGCAAATTCTATATGAAATTACATATTTATTTATAATTATATAACATTAATAAACTATTATAGAGAAAAACATTATTTTTAACGGAACTTTGCTCAAAAGCTGGATGATTATTTTAAGACTGTATAACAAATATGAAATGTAATGCAAGAAAACTAAAGTGTAACTTATAATATGTTAAGGTGGATAAGAACGTCCCATATAAATTAAGTTAATAATATTTTAATAATTATTGTAAAAAATTTTTATTTTAACTTTGAAAAATAAATATATTAGACATATAATGGATTGTATATATTATAATTCAACAAAATAAACAATTGAAGGATAACTAAAAAAAGCTTTTAAAAAGAAATTCTATAAAATATCTATTTGCACAGAAAATATAGTGTATTATATAAGAAATTATAAGTATTTATGCTTTAAATTTTAGTTTAACTCTAATATATCTTGGATTATATTCTACTTATCGATTTTTTCATCTGTTCGTCTACTATTAATTTCTCAGGTCTATTATTGATCTTATTGTCTTAGGCATTTGTATAAATATTAAAATATTATATATTTTAAGGAAATAGTTATATATGTTATTTTTATGATTTTATTTTTTTCTTTTTCAGTATGAAATAGATTAACACAAAAATGATCTTAATTATCGCACGACAACATGTATTTTAAAAAGTTTTCATTTAGAACTATTGGTATAAATGAACATTTATTATATGAAAATGTGTAACTAATAATTATTAATATATATATTATTAGAATGGCCCTCATTTTCCAATAATTTTTATTTATATTGCATGACCTATTTTTTTATAATAATTCTATCTTGTAGCTTACAACAAATACATATATTTTAACTATGTATTTTTCGTGTAATCACACATGTTATGTAATTTTTTGTATAGAATTATAAATTTTATTTAACAAAAATTTATATAATATTTTATTAATAATTATATTATTTTTTTATCTGACTTTGCTAAATTAGTCTCTACACTGCATTTTACATAGCAAAACAGTGTATATTCTTATGTGTATGATTCCGTTTACCTATAATATTCCCCTTTAATTTTACACTGTACATAATATATATTTGTTTAATTATCTATTAAAATAAGAATATTCCATATTTATGAATTAAAATTTATATATTCCTAATTTATTGTATTATTAAAAAATAATAAGGATAATATATTTTTTTTAAAATATTTTATCAATCTAATGAAAAACTATGGTAAACATGTCTTTCTTAAAATTATTAACTATAATCCATTTAACCCATATTATATATTAAATTATATCATGAAAATGTTATAATCCATATAAATACGAATTATAGGATGCGCTGAATATTTTATTATAAAACGATAAATGAAGAAATAGCTTAATAAAATAATATATATGCAAAATGATTTGATTTTATTGTAAAATTCGTTTAACCATTGAATATCTTATAAGGAATACAAATATAAACTAAATGTAGACTTAACAAATGTTATGTTTTATAGATACCTCCTATTAATGAAAAGATAAAAAATAATTCTACTTTGCAACATCAAATTATCAATGATAGAATACACACAAATATAATCATTACATACACATGTTAAATTAAAGTAATATTTATATGCATAATACTTGTTATATATTTGACGTTATCATATATGTATTTCTTTCGTCGAATATCTTTATTTTATGCAATATATATAACATTGTTTTATCAATGTATAAAGTGAAATGTCTTAATGTATTAAATAAAAAGGTATATTCTTTTATTATTTATATACCTATTTTAAATTGCATATGCATAAAAACTGACAAAAACAACATAAAATAAAAGCGCATATATTTAATGAAAGCAACTTATTATATTTAATATTTTATCCCATATATTATGCAAATTTTAACAAAAATGTTAGGGTCATTCAATAAACTTATCATCTTACATGTAAATATATTAAGTTCAAGAATAATGCATACTTTTTGTACGTATACAATAATCGCATATTTAAATTATTATTATTCAGATTTGTAATATAATTAAATAGAGAATGTAATAGAAAGTTATTTTAACTTTTCAAATTACAACATAACATATCTAGTTAAACTATAATTTATTCTTGCTATAATCACTAGTTAATATAATTATAATATTTTTTAGCTTAATTCAATTTATAAAATAATTGTTACGCTAAATAAATAATATAATAAAAAAAATTCCACTAAAAGAGTTATATATATAAATTTCATTATATTGCCTAATGTATTAAGTGCAATATATAAGAATGCATAATTTATCTATTATAATAATTTCATAATGTATAATGGTATATTACTGTATTAAATTATTAAGACACTAATTGAAGAAATTAAAATACTATTAATTTATGTAACAATAGAACAGTGAAAATACTATACATTGTTTTTTATTCTATTTCGTATATATTCTATGACTATGGATTCTTTTTGATGAAGAACTAAATAAATTTTCTTTTTTATTAATAGATTGAAACATAAAATATGTTATAACAAATATCAACAAATAATATAATCACATATAAACTTACCAAATAAAAAATTTTGTTACACATTATTATAAAATAATTCATACAAATTATAATTAAGTGTTGAAATTTTTATTTCAAAAAGATATCACCTTAAAAAATAATAAAAAGAGCCTTTATAAATTAATGCTATTGTCATTTGAAATAATTACCTTTTGAAATCTTATGTACTGCAGCTGCAATTTTAGATGCATTTCTTAGGTCATAAATGAAATAACCATTTTTCTAAAATATCTCTTAGAATGTGTAGACAATGTATAAATTTCTAAACGATTACCTTTATTATTTTTTCAGTGAAATATATAATGTAATTATTTTTTTATTAAAAACTGAAAGAACTAAATTTGTGTATTGAGTAAATTCAATTTTATATAGTATAAAACGCAAATGATAAAATGATACAAGAAAAATATATACAAGTGTTTTATTTCTTAATAATTCACAACTAAAATGATAAATGCTTTCTTTAGAAGGTAAAATATTTTTTTCTTATATTTGCTGTAGATATTTTGTTAATCTTTTATATTATTAGTTAGGATAATTTATAAGATATTATAATTATGGTAATTACATATATATAAGGTATAATATTGTGTTTAAAATATCTTTTATTTGTATGTCAAAATTATAGTACTTAAATTTTTCTGATTTTGTCTTTTATTACATCATAAATACATTTATTATATATATTAATTTACATTCGATAACAAATTTATATTTAGTATTATATAATATTAAATTATTATATCATGTACTATATCATATTTAGATATAATTTTTGTGAATTTTTATAATTAATATTGTTGCTCTTCTATTGTCTTTTGATTAGGGAGAGCATAATCATACAATAATGCAATTTACTTCTTCTATAATGTAATGTTTTTTACATTATTTATATACTATTATAATAACTACAATAAAGAGGAGATAATTTCTTCATGCATATGCAATTAAAAAACGTATATTAATATTATAATGTTTTTTTTTTTTATTTAGTGTAATAGTAATGTAATATAATTTCAATATTGCATGATTAATTCCACATTTTAAAAAGGGGCTATATTTTTCCTCTCCACACAACATATATCTCCTTTTTATTTCTTCTTTAGAATAATATATTGCAATACATATATGACTAATATTGTAATTTAACCTTACAGAATATAATTATCTATCAAACGGCTGTGAAATTAAGACCAATTATGTTATTATAAAAAAGAGTTGATAAACGATTCTTTACACTATTTGCTATCATCCTTTAATAAACATAACCGTGTTATATAAAAACTATTTATTTTACTTGTTTAATCAATAAAACAATATAATCTGCTTTAAAATGGAGAAAATATTTGTACTTATTATTAACACTTGTATAAATTAAACGTTGTATCGTCTTAACATAAAATTCTTATGTATTGTTATAAATACTTGTTAAACTGAGCACAATTCATGAAGAAATATTATATTACTTACTTTTTGGTATAAAAATGTGCATCTATTTCCTAAATTTAAAGAGATAATAGAAAAAATTTCAAAAGAAAAAGGTCTAGAGGAATGTCCGAGTGACTTTTTTGAAAACGCCATTATTCAAGAAATGGACTTTAATAAGATTAGATGCCAATATGCTTTAACTTATTTAAAGGATATAAAAATATAATTTTGCGAATTGATGACCTTAATTTAACTAAGGAAGCCTGGTTTTCATACTTGTATTATTGGATATATAATAATATTCAAAAATAAAATAAAATTATTTATACTAACAATGTTTATCAAAAATTAGTGACAAATCATTGCAGTACATATACAAGACCAGACGATTGCTTTAAAAAAAAAAATTATTCTATACGAAATGATGATATGATATCAATCGAAAATTTATATAATATGCATGATTCATTAAAAAAAATAAATGAAGAACAAAAAAGTAATCTTGAAAACCATTTTTATAATGCCCTCAAAAACACTTTAAAAACATATGATATAAATATTCAAACTCAACCTATAGAAGCTCATAATTCAACAATAATAAATAAATGTAAAAATAATATATCATTTCATATTATGATTACAATTATAGCATTGTTAATAATATCAATTATTACATATATTTTGTATAAGGTTATTGATATCTTTATTTATACATATTAAGACTTTAATATAACTTTTCGAAATGATTTTAAAAAAATAATTTTATCATAAAAAAATAATATTTTGGATACATTTTTTATACTGAAACAGTACACACCCCTTAGTTCTGTTATTAACCTTATAATATTAATGAAAATAAATATGTGGAATAAGGTAGATGAAGAGAGGAATATAATGCAAAGATCTGAATTATTCGGCAAGATATCAAGAAATAACGAACACAATATATTTTATAATTCTCCTAAATTTTAACATTAAATATATAATAAGAATAACATTATATGTTTAAACATCATAAAACAAATTGTAAGGAAGTAGTATTAAGAATATTTCCCTTAAAAAATTATATTCCGAGGAAATAATTTGTAGAATAATAATAAATATATTATATAAATAAATTCAAGTTATTGCAAAATTTATTAATTTTAGAATAAGCCGATATAATTTTATTACACTTTCATATAAAACGAATAATAATTAAACATATTGGAAATATGACAATTTAAAATTTATAAAATATCAGAAATATTTATGCTCTATATATTATATTTGTCGTTTTATGTCAGTGTTCTAATAAAGTTTTCACATATGGAATACATTATAAAAAGATGTAAAAAACAGTTTGTGCTTAAATTAACTGATATATTATTTTTACATAATTATTTTAATAATAATTTAAATTATAAAACTTTAAAATTAATAAAATATTATAATTACAAGAAATGCATAAAAGTAATATATAATTCATAATTATAGTTCTCGTCAAATCGTAATATATATATACATATATGGTTATGATTCATGCTTTATATTGTTGCAAAAAATTCAAATTTTATAAATTAAACTATGCTGAATATGACTCTATGAATTCATAAATAAATATATTGATATGTATCAAAATAATTAAAAAATATATTGTTAATATTATATTAATAGCATTTTATTTAATATAAAATACTAATAAGTATTAAAATATGATTCAAAAATTTATTGATATACATTTTTTTACATAATATCATTAATTTTCATGATTTCTTATATTAAAAAAAAAATGAAAGCATCTATTCACAGTATCTGATATTTCTAAGGTGACAAATTATAATAATACCCTAACAATGAAAGAATAATATTAAATAATTAAATGGGAATCATAAATCCTAATCTCCAATCGAGAAAATATCATAATTATTTTTGTATGTAGACAATTCTTAAGGGAAATAATGACATATGTATATATGAAAAAATAAAAAATTCTTGATTATAAATGCATGTATTCATTTTTATTGCATTGTAACATAAATTATACATTATATAAATGCAATATATATAAATACATTTCGTGGATATAATTTATTATTTAATTTTCTTTTATATTATACAAGAGGTGTAAATCTAATTAACATATATTATTATATGGTAAAATGTCCATTATATCACGAGCTACTAATATATCCATAGTTTAATATGCATGAATAATATAATAAAGTATATATGTCAAAGGTAATTTGTTGAATCAAGGAGATTAAATATGCAATATATATTTTATCAGTAGTGCTTATTCTATTGTATTAAACATATTAATTATTATAAAAATAAAATAATAAATAAGAATTAAGTTCTTATTTTTGCATTAATAAATTTACATAATCAATCATGTCATTTAATAATTCTGGAAATGAAGACGTATGATATTGCTAATAATTTAAATTATTATTTTTGTTGCATAAATTTAAAGTACCCTTATTTGTATAAGAAAAATGAAGTATATTTTCATGGATATTATTTTAATTCATGTATACATTATGTTTTTACGCTTTAGTTTTACTTTGAGGGGATATTTCCTACATGTGACGAAGAATATATGGAAGCTACAAAACGTATAATAACTGATGTTAATTCTCTTAGTGATAATACTTGTACTATGATATACCATTCTGTAGGAGTTAGAGATCCTAGGAATGAATCATATTTTATAGATGATTGTAAAGCACTTATTCAATATTTAAGTGGTATAGAAAATAAAACAGAAGAATCAGATATAAAATCACGTTGTAATTACTTAAACTACAAATTGAAATATGATCTTATGGGATATCACTGTTCTATTCAAAATACAAAAGAGGTTTACCAAAAAATTGTAGATTCATACAAACCATATAATAAGATACTTAATAAATGTAATTCCCATATTAAAAATCTTGATTTGGATACATTTTATAAGTTTTACTTTTTGAACTGGTTGTATAATTATCTTAACGTATTTATAGGAGGAAAATTCATTTGTCCCTTCAACACAGATGATTTTAAAAAATATATAGTTCTTTTAAAAAAATGTGAAATTGAGAATAACAGGAATTTTTGTAATGTTCTGGAAAAGTTCAAAGCACAATATAGTGATTATATTCATAAATTAACTAAATGCTTAGAAGGTCATAAAGGCTTAACATTCTCCTCTTGGAAGGTTGCACTATTAGGAATTTTAATATTTTCCATATTAATAATATTATACATTTTTTATAAGGTTGATCATATATATAAAATAAAAAATTTTAAATTTACAAATATTTATAATACGTGATATTATATAAACTAAGAAAAAAATGATATTTATAAATGTGAAATATTTTTTATTTCTTTTACTATTAGTATACAACTTATGGTTCATATATAGGTTTAAGGATAAGGGTAATGTTGAGATTTAGGAACAAAAAGAATAAAGAACGCCTCAAATTATTAGATTCATTTGAAAATGCATTCAATGATTTATCCAATAAAGAATGTCAAATAGCATATAATTCTTTAGAGTAAAACTAATATATTTACAGAAACAATAAATGAAATCAAAGTAATATGTTTTATATAATAAAAAAAAATTATAAGTATGAATTAGGTTTAGGGTTTAGGTTTAAATGTTTATCAGTATCAGATTTTGTTATGAATATATATATATTTGCAAATAATATTATGCCAATGAATGCACTTTTAATTTTTCAAAATTATAAATTTTTGTTTTAAAATATATTCAACATTATTATATATCTACGGAGATGGAATGTGTGAAAATTGCAAACACAGTGAATTACTTATGCTTTCTGACATTGTAAGAAAAGCTTTGCAAAATAGGTGGAAAAATCATACATGTTATAGAATGGACGCTATTTAATTTAGTACATATTAGTCTTTATAGATAAATGTAATGAACGGAAATATGAAATAGTAATATTTTTAAGGAAAAATATATACTTGTTGAAATAAATTGTCTCTATCTGTTATTTTATTTTTTCTTCATAAGGAAATCTCTGAATACTTATGAATTTATATATATAATGTACATATTTTAAGAATACCTAATGATTTTACTTAATAACTGTGCAATGAAGCTATATTTTGCTAGGTAATAATTTGTTTTTATTCCTTTATATTTTATATTCCAAATGTATGTAGCATAGATTTTAA